AATGGTTTTTTCACTTCATTGATTCTTCAAATATTTTGAAGTATCTCTGCTCTGAGTAGTTTACTTGTTTTTGTGAATGTTACCGAACCAATGGACCCATCGGGGGTTCGTGCCCAGATGCTATGACCAAAACAATGACACCCCCCTTCCCCGGGGTCCCTCGGTTGTAGGTCCTTTGCCCGCCGCCCTTGGAATTATGGCTCTGAATGGCAGAGTTTGGTGAAAAGGAAAGGAACTATTTATTGAAAGGTTACACAGGTTTGATTAATGGCTAAATGTCGCCCTTGAACTTCAAAATCCCTTTAAAGCAATCACTAGCACACACCCCGACCTGCCTTCCCCGCTTTGCCCAGTTAGGCCAGTCAGGCCTGTCAAGGGTACCGTCCTTCAGAAGAAAAAGAACAGAAGTCCGGGGCTCGGCCAGGCAGGCCTCTGGCGGTTCTCAGCACCATCTGCTGCGTCGCCGCGATCTCCAGCTCTTAATCCATAACCATGTGGCACCCTCTCATGGCCCACTAGCAAGAGTCCTTTCTCCCCTCTTTCTTCCCACGTGGTCTTCACACTGTTCCCCAGAGTCTGTGTCCCTTTGTCTCTCCCGTGGGCCCCAGTCCCTCCTCTTTCCTCTCCCAGTTACGTTCTGCATTAAGTCTTTTAAACCTTCCTGATTAGCTTTGGTGATACGCAAAATAACCCTTTTTGCATATGAGGAGTGAAGCTAGCCCGTTACTGACAGGCAAAATGACTCTCAATGGCCCTGCTCAAGGCTCCCATCCCCCATGGCGGCCCCGCCCTGGGGTGGGCAGAATATATTTTTCTTGGACACCCCAATCTCCGGGCCCCGTCACAAATACCCTTTGGAGGAGGGGGCCCTGGATGTGCCCCGTTACATGAATACATTGGTAAGTATAACAAAGATGTTAATTTCTTTCCTGGGGTGCCCTGGCAGAGAAAACAGGGCTTAAAGATTAAGTAACCCAGCAGGACCCTTTCCACGGCTCTGAAGGGCAGGCATAAAACACGAGGACAGGTTACAGCTATTCAGTATTTCTCCTGCTTCCTGGAGAATCGTGTCTGCTGGTTGTGGTTTCAATTTCAGCAATTGCATGAGTAAGAACCTAAAGTGAAATATAGCATCTTAGAATTTAAATTTCTACAAGTAAGTAGTGTGTGTATCTTCTATTTGTGGGTTTTGGGGTGGGTGCCGGATGCAAGGCCAAAAACTACATCCATTGCCTGCGGCCGCGGAGCCTCATCTGGCCTGGCGGGGTTATGGTAATTGAGCATCCATTAAAGCAGAGCTAATGCACGTGATATCAGCAGGCGCCCTTCAGAGCGCGTAAGTCTTGTATGGGTCAGGGGAAGCTTCCAGAGCCAGCAACTGGTCAGCTGACAACCCAAGGATCTTTAGGAGCTAACCGGTAAATGCACGAAGGTCCGTTTTGGCCATGTAAAGAGCCAGTATTCTAGGGTAGCAGGTTAAAATACAGGTTTCATATTTGGAGATAAGGCTGAGTAAATACAAACATGTGCAAGTCATAATCACAGAGATCCCACTGAGAACTCTTTGGGAGGCTGAGACTGTGTGTGCAGAGAGCATGAAGTGCGGAGCCCAGCTTAGACTGTCGAGGAACATCGAGGTTCCCAAAGATGGGAAGGGGTGGTCAACAGAGGAGAGAAGGCAGAGGAGCAGAAAAACAGAAGATGGTGATGACATAGAAGCCTGGGGAAGGTCAGCTTTAAATGGAGGATGTGGTCGATGTCAGATGATTCTGAAATGTTTGCCACGGCCCTCTGACGGTGATCTCTGAGCTGAGTCGGATGGGACTTACTGTAAACTTTGCCTGAGCAGAACAGGAGAAGAGGGAGGCGGAAGGCACATTATAGGGAGTGGAGAAATGAGCTGCATGTGAAGACGTAGGGACAGACATGTAAATTCAAGGCACTTAGAACAATATATCCTAGTACATATATATAATATATATACTCTATATGCGTGTATATATGTATAAAAAACAATATATAACTTAGTACAACAGATCGGCCTTTGGTGTGGTTGGTGGTGGTTCATTTTGCTTGCCCCACAATCTCTTTAGTTCCACATTGATGTAAAATATTCACTTTTCATCACCCATCACATATGTTTTAAAAACAGAAAGGTTTAGTTCCATTTAAGTAGAGAATTGCATGCCAAAATATGGTCAAGAAGTTTTGTTGTTGTTGTTGTTGTTGTTGTTGTGTTGCTTAACCTATGTGGACCCATACTTCAAAGCAATTGACATAACCAAGCTGGTGCAAATGATTTTCAGTGCTTGATTTGGATATTTTGAGTATGTCGGCTATCTCCTGCATAGTATAATGTTGATGGTTCTCAGCTAATGTCTCAGTTTGATCGCTATCAACTTCAACTGGTCTATGCAATCTTGGAGCATTGTTCAGTGAGGAAAAATCCAGCAGGAAACTGTGCAAACCACTTTTGACACGTTGAATGAGTCACAGCAGCTTCTCCATACACTGCACAAATCTTTTTGTATTTTAGTTTGTTGGGAAACGGCGCATCAGGTTCAGGGGCTGTAGCCCCACCAACGGGCGAGAGGGCCCCAAGGCTGGACGTAACCAAGGAGGCCTTGGGAAAACGGGCCACTGCAGAGATGAAACCTGCCCCCTTCACATCACCCTGCTCGACCCTGCGATGGTCGGTTGTTGATGACTGGTAAGTTCTCTCGCGAGGAGAGATGACCTAAGACAGACAGCGGCCAACATGGGCATCAGGTCAAGGTCTTGGGGGACACGGAGAAAGAGTAAAAAGGCCCGCAACCCCTCGGCTCGGCTTGGACGTGGCCAGAGTCCTCATTCCATCCGAAAGAAGTCTCCTTATCTCTGGGCTGCCTGCCCTGCCCGCCTGGTTCAGGCTTGAAACAGTATTAAAGGCAGGTACAGCCCTAAACTTGACCGGGCAGTTCCGGGGGGACAATCAGGCCTAGAAGTAAGTTCCTCTAAGCATGCTTTGTTCATCCCTCAAAAGCTATGACAACCAGCTCAAACTGGGAAGGAGATTTACATTATTCACAGACCCTGACCTGAGGCAGATCTCTTGTGTTCCTTCGATTGTTATCCATAATCTCTCTCTGTTTTCTGTAAACATTGCCTTTTGACACTGATTGATGAGCTTTGCTGTACACGCCTGTGCATATGGTTCTCAACAAAAGCCTTTGGACATGGGGGTATGGGACCTTCTCCCCTCGAGGGAAGAGCCATGTCCCCTCTCCTGGCAAACAGTGAACTGTTTGCAATGACTCGTGTTTTATTTCCCCCCAGCCTTGTCCGTGACAACCCCGGGCTGGGCTCTGTGGGATTCAGAGCCCCGCTCACTCCTCAGCTGGCTCCACACAGTAACCCTGAGATCCAGGAGCCCCCGCACTACACCGCGGCACTCGCTGTGACATTAGTTGCCTTTCTTGATATAAAAGCACACTATGTGAAAAATGTTGCTCATTTTCTTCCATCTTCAATATTAAAATGGCTACAGAAAAACTCACTGATTTTGATGTGTTCTTTTTAATGCATGCTGATATGACAGCTGTCACAATACAATCAAACAAAATTCACTGAAATAAAGTTAAAGACAGCTGAGCACTGCAAGAGCCATCTTATGGAAAAACACTGAATGAACCTTTTGGTCAACCCAATATATAGAGTATGGTCTCCAGCTCCCCGTATAGAAAGGTCATTGTATCTGAGAGGGGATAGGCAATCAAAGAAAGGTTCATGAAGAGTCCAGAATTGCCAAACTTTTTCTCCTCAGCTGAACTTGTCTAAAAAGAAGAAGTAGCAAGAAAGAGAAAGATGAAAGACAAATATTTATTAAAATATTACACACAATATACAGAAAAGCAAACAAATGCAATGGCTAGACGACCCGAAGCAATGATTCAAAAAATCCTCTCAAGTTGGTATCTCTCCCTGCTGCTGCTGTGTGGGAAATTCACGCAACACACACACTAAACTGAATTCTTCTGATTCCTTTATGTCGGCACCTATTTCATTATTGTAACAATGGCCTCCACTCAGGGCCCAAAAATATACATGAGGACACTCAGAGAAGCAGACCTGGCTACAACAGTTTTGAAGAACAAAGAGCTTCCACTCAACTTTTGCTCTCTCCCTTTGGCTTCGTACCCTTACTGGACACCACGAAGCCAAAACCACAGCGGAACCAGAGCACCGGTGCGGGTGGGCTGTAAGGTGGGGGGGAGCGAGGGGATAGTGAAAGGGAGCGAACGCAATCAGAACAGCAGGACCACAGAGAGGGTGGGAGGAAGAGCACTGGGTGCATGGATCTGCCCATAAACACCGCGTATCTTTCCTACTTCGTTCTCGATGACCCCTCTCAGATATTTCTCCTTGTAGACTGCTCCTTGTAGACTGAATATAAATTGGTTACAACTCAGACATAAGTACTGAACATATTCCACCTTTTCTAGGACTCCTCTCAAGTTTATGGATAACCTCCCTTTTGATAGGCATTTTCTGACTAGTCATAGAACTGCTCGGTATGACCTAATGGACAGGTACTATTCTGAGATTCATGTATATAGAAATATAAATAAAGATTTCAATTTTCAGAATAAAAGAGCCCAAGAAGTTTCCTTTGATAAGAGTTTAATAATTAAAGCAACATGCAAGTTTAACAACATAACAAAGTAAACATGTTTTGTAAAATGTAATACAACATAAGGGAAAACATTCATTATATAAATATTTAACTATAATAAGGTTGAAAGAATAAATAAATAATAAATAAATACACTAGCAATAAATAAATAACATCAGGGCCATCACCTCTTAGGCACTGATGTCCCAGGAGCTGAATTTTGTAACATGCTGTTGCTTAACACCCTGACAAAAGATGTGCTCGATCAAAGTCAATAAATCCTGTGACTGAGGCAGAAAGAAGGGCCTTTTGCCATGACCTAAGTCCTGTGTACAAGCGTGATCCGGCACGTTCATGGGTGACGATCGCATCAAGGTGAGCGCAGGTCTCCGTCCCTATTACTTAACATGTCTTGTAAGGTTAAGTATCGAAGACCAGGATTTCAAGATTTCCACTTGGACACGATCCCAGGCACAGTCACTGTACTTCTTGTCTTTCAAGTAGCGACAAAGGCCCTCGAAGTACCTCCTCACAGCCAGTGTAGGTCCCTGGGTTGGCGGGACAGCTCCTTCCTCTTCCGTCTCCTGCTTCAAACAGGGCTCCAGGTCTGCCAGCTGCCGATGGAGTCCCATGCGCAGCTGGTTCAGCAGGGTCGTGTCCCAGGCAGCGGAGGCGTGCTCTGTGAGCAAGAGGTCGGAGATGTGCCGGAGCATCTCGTGGAGGACGGCGATGGGCTGGGCCTTCTGCACCTGGCTGCCATTTACCATCGCCCGGGGCAATCGGAGGTCTCTTCCGTCCTTCGGGCAGGAAGAAGTGGAGTTTCTCCACATTCGCCTAAAAAGCAGCGCGTTCTCCTTGCTGAGCAGGATGTGGCTCTGAGGTAGGTCACAGCCCAGAGAGCCACCGGGGCCACAGCTGATTACCACCAGGGCCGTGAGCAGAGACAGCAGGAGGGCCATGGGCGAGGAGGGGCTGCTGGCCTGGCTGAGCTGGGCTTCTGGGGAACAAGCCTGCACCCGACCTGAGCCTACCACCGTCTTTCTAGGCATGGCCATTAAATAGGGAGACACAATTTTCATTTTCTAAACATTTCTTTACACTTTCACTTCCTTTTTTTGGTTTTCATTCTTGAGATCTCCATGCGGTCTAAGATGATGTCAAGATTTTACACTTTTAATTTTGCCGTTTTAATTTTCTCACCAAACTAGAGATGAGTCCGTCCAAATGGACACTTAACAGTCAAATGGGAAGCACCGTTGTCCTAAAGTCAGAAGTGGATGTAGGTGTTCAATACTTACACACATGCATACTCATGAACAATTTTTATTACATAAATACTGCTCTTCTCTGTATTAGAATCAAAATTTGGTCTTCCGTCAGGGCAATGTTTTTGCCATCTTCGCATAGGGAGCCCGGCTCCCTCCGCCCTGTGGGTTTGTGTATGTTTTTAGGTACTTACCAGACCATGTGTGGCATATATGGTGTTCAGGAAAATAAAAAAAACACATTGAGAGAGACTTTTCTTTCATATCTATCCCATCAAATATTGTCTCCATATGCCTAAATATTTGTGATCATCTTAAACGTGTATAGAAATACATTGTACTAAGAAACAGATCTTGAGGTGTGTTACCAAGTGTGAAGTAAAAAATGTTTTTAAACATTTAATGAGCCTTGTGTCAGCAGCAAGTCCTTCCTTTCCTTGTCTGATGGTTATTACATACCCACTGTTAGATTAAAGTTAGTATGTAGATTTACTAAGAAACCAGATAAAATGGCCTACTGCCTTAAGAATATTTTTCCCTGAGCAGATTAAATTTTAAAAAATGTTTTTTGTCTCGTGTATTGAAGTGTGATAGGCAAATAAAAATAATTTAGACCCTGGATTCAAGTAGGCTCTTTTTATTCATCAACAAGTTGATAGGAGGTCCTGGCCCTGTTGCTCATTTGCTGGGAGCATCGTCCCGATGTGCCAGGGTGCAGGTTTGAGTCCTGGTCAAGGGCACATACAAGAGTCAAAAAGCACAGTCTGACTGTTTTTTTCTGTATAGCCGCCCATTACCCAGAGAGGACAGCCCTGCCTGGTGCCCGGTGCACTTTCCCCCATAAAACAGCAGAAGCTAAGGAAGTGAGCTTCCACACTATTGGGGAGATACAGGATGAAAGAAACAGACTCATTTGCATAGGTAGAAAGAAGCCTGCCCCCTCTTCCCAGACTTGTGGGTTGTTTTTGCCTACCATGGGCAATAGGTGGCGGCCTTGCTCTGTGAATGTTTTAATAAGTCAGTCCTGGGCGTAAAAGAATCTGACTCTGACTCATTCAGTTACAGCTATTGTTACATCATTCCTCAGTTCCAAAATTATTCATCAGAACCAAAAAAAAAAGTCTCTTAGACAGGAGTTCTGAAAAATTAAGAACTCACTCAGCTTTTCCACTTACAGGTGGCTTTGTACCCTTCAAGGGAAATTGGTGGCCTGAAGCCTCAGAAGAACAGAAAACAGCTGCATGGATGGGGCGCAAGTGAAGGAGGAGTGAAAGAGGGGAGCACACTGGGCCCGTCTACCCCGGAGAGGAAGCAAACGGCTGTGATACTGAACAGAGGATTGTGATTTAGGAAAGCGAGGACGTAAGGCCAAAGTGTGCCAGGGGGCACTAACATGTGCCACATAAGTGTGTCTCACTGTTCAAAGTGAGCAAGTGTTATTAATATGTAGTTTATATGAGTATGTTCCACAGTTTGGAATTCTTCCCAAAGAATTATGCAAAACACCATTTCCTAATGAACATGCAAATCAGGCTTATCTTAACTGTGAATAGTGACTATATTTGAGTCTTGTTCACAACACTTCTCAGAATTTTGTATCTTTAACTGTCTTGTGTTGATACCCAGAGGTGGGAAAGTTCACTATTCCTATCTGTACCTATAGAAGAAAATAGTTACCATATTTAAGTTTTAATGGTGCAATATAGCCGAAATCTTTGAAATGTTTTAGTTTTTTAACATTCTGGGCATATTTCCACTTTATTTTATATTTAGGAAAACTGGGGCCCTAGAAATTAAGTGAGTTTCCCTGGATCACACACAATTACTGGTAGAATGAAGATTCAAAACAGAATTTGATGTCGTATGGACTGTAATAGGCAATGGAAATGCTCCATCCACACTTCATGCTCTCTGCACACACAGTCTCAGCCTCCCAAAGAGTTCTCAGTGGGATCTCTGTGATTATGACTTGCATATGTTTGTATTTACTCAGCTTTATTGTGAAACCTGTATTTTAACCTGCTACCCTAGAATACTTGCTCTTTACATGGCCAAAACAGACCTTCATGCATTTACTGGTTAGCTCCTAAAGATCCTTGGGTTGTCAGCTGACCAGTTGCTGGCTCTGGAAGCTTCCCCTGACCCATACAAGATTTATGTGCTCTGAAGGGCGCCTGCTAATATCACGCACATTAGCTCTACTTTAACTGGATGCAATTACCATAGCCCTGCCAGGCCAGATGAGGCTCCATGGCCGCAGGCAATGGATGTAGTTTTTGGCCTTGCATCCGGCACCCACCCCAAAACCCACAAATAGAAGGTACATAACTAGGATTAAATGAATTGAAGATGACAGAGCACCCACGATGGGGTAAATGCCTTTACGAGAATCATAAGGTTCTTCCTTTCTCCACTTTCCACCATTGAGGACTCAAAGAAAAGACAGCTACCAGCAACCCAAAAAAGGGCTCTCAAAGGAACTCAATCGTTCTGGCACACTGATCTTTAGACTTCCAGCTTTCAGAATTGTGATGAACAAACTTTGCTTATAGCCTCCTGTCCTATGATACTTATCTATAGCAGCCTGAACTAAGACACATGACATCATTCATTTGGCAGGGACAACACACTCGTTGACATCCAGGTTGAAATCAGACATGACAGAGAAGAAATTGCCATGTATAATTATACACATTCCTTCTCTTTAAAAGAACCTGGTATCTGTGCTCACAGTTAAAAACTATAGATGCATGATCAAACAGGAGGGAAACGATAGCCCATATAAAAGGCGCAGAGTATTAGTAAAAGAGAGTCAGAGACAGACTTCTGGCCTAATGGAGGTGTAAGGTAAAGAAGCTCTTCCTTTGTGCACAAAAATTACAACTAGGCTTCCAAACAAAATATCAGCCAGATTTGTCAAAAAACTAGGCTGTATGGAAGGCCAACAACCAAGGACTGAAAGAAGCCACACTCATCCAGGTAGGAGGGGTGGAGTCACAGAGAGAGGGGGAGAGGTGGAAAGGCACAGAGAGGCACTGAGACATGGAGTGGTGTGGAGAGGTGGAAGGATGGGCGGTCCCACATTCATGTTTGGTCGATAAAAATTAGGATGGATATGTCAGGAACAAGAGATCCCAGTTGTAGACCAGATCAGCCAGCCCAGGTCCCAGCACCAGGAAGAAAAGTCCCATTAATTTCTAGCTATATAAACTGGTGGGGTTTGGAGCACTGGAAGAAACTGCAGGATTCTCAAGAGACTCCTACTAAGGGCCTACAATGGACTTAGGACTCACCCACACCTACCCACTCTGGGATTCAGCATGAGGGCAACAGCTGGGAGGGCACGAGTTGCCCTGTGAATGAGAAAAAGGGGAGGAAGGGGAGAAAGGGGAAGAAGTGAAGAAAGGGGAGAATGGGGAGAAAGTGCATTGATTGGCAACAGGGCAGCTGCCTAAGGCAGCCTGCTCTCAGGCAACACCCAGAGGCCCCACAGCGACACAGTTCCCTCTCTGAGCCTCTTTCACTCCCCTCTTTCACTCCTCCGTCACTTGCGCCCCATCCATGCAGCTGTTTTCTGTTCTTCTGAGGCTTCAGGCCACCAATTTCCCTTGAAGGGTACAAAGCCACCTGTAAGTGGAAAAGCTGAGTGAGTTCTTAATTTTTCAGAACTCCTGTCTAAGAGACTTTTTTTTTTTGGTTCTGATGAATAATTTTGGAACTGAGGAATGATGTAACAATAGCTGTAACTGAATGAGTCAGAGTCAGATTCTTTTACGCCCAGGACTGACTTATTAAAACATTCACAGAGCAAGGCCGCCACCTATTGCCCATGGTAGGCAAAAACAACCCACAAGTCTGGGAAGAGGGGGGCAGGCTTCTTTCTACCTATGCAAATGAGTCTGTTTCTTTCATCCTGTATCTCCCCAATAGTGTGGAAGCTCACTTCCTTAGCTTCTGCTGTTTTATGGGGGAAAGTGCACCGGGCACCAGGCAGGGCTGTCCTCTCTGGGTAATGGGCGGCTATACAGAAAAAAACAGTCAGACTGTGCTTTTTGACTCTTGTATGTGCCCTTGACCAGGACTCAAACCTGCACCCTGGCACATCGGGACGATGCTCCCAGCAAATGAGCAACAGGGCCAGGACCTCCTATCAACTTGTTGATGAATAAAAAGAGCCTACTTGAATCCAGGGTCTAAATTATTTTTATTTGCCTATCACACTTCAATACACGAGACAAAAAACATTTTTTAAAATTTAATCTGCTCAGGGAAAAATATTCTTAAGGCAGTAGGCCATTTTATCTGGTTTCTTAGTAAATCTACATACTAACTTTAATCTAACAGTGGGTATGTAATAACCATCAGACAAGGAAAGGAAGGACTTGCTGCTGACACAAGGCTCATTAAATGTTTAAAAACATTTTTTACTTCACACTTGGTAACACACCTCAAGATCTGTTTCTTAGTACAATGTATTTCTATACACGTTTAAGATGATCACAAATATTTAGGCATATGGAGACAATATTTGATGGGATAGATATGAAAGAAAAGTCTCTCTCAATGTGTTTTTTTATTTTCCTGAACACCATATATGCCACACATGGTCTGGTAAGTACCTAACAACATACACAAACCCACAGGGCGGAGGGAGCCGGGCTCCCTATGCGAAGATGGCAAAAACATTGCCCTGACGGAAGACCAAATTTTGATTCTAATACAGA